TCATTGTTTGGCGAAGGGGCACCTTCTGTTCCACCAGTCGAGGAGGCCCTGGGTCGGCTGAAAAGGGGGGAGGAGGAGGAAAAGGGGGGGGGGTCCTCTCTCCCCCTCCACCCCCCCCCCCCCCCCCGGACCTGCCACCCACAGCCCCTGTAATGGCTTTGGCGGACAAATCTTATCTATGTTCCCGGTTATTCGCCTGCCAGGGCTGAATGGGGCCGTCTCCCTGGTCCCATTGTAACTTGGGGATGAGGGATGGCTCCATGAATTAATTATCACACCTTTCTTTCTCGGTGACAAGCAGGGTGGTGGGTGGGAAAAGAGGGGTGCCCCCCCCCACGGGACGGTGGCTGCCAAAAAAAAAAGAAAGAAAGACACGCCCCCGCCTCCTTTTTCCCCCCTTCCCAAGCAGGGTGAAATGAGCAATAAATGTATATGGAAACAAGGCATGGGTAGATGCCTCGATGGGCAGCTGGGTGTGTGTGTGTGGTGTGTGTGTGTGTAGAAACACCACAAAAGCCGAAGGGGAAGAGAGCCCTTTGCGGCTAATCTGTCTTCCATCTGCCCTCCTTATTTCCATAGAGGGCTTTACTTGAGGCTAATCGGCCCTCAATAGGTGCTTTTCTAGTCCTCATGACAAATCCCGCTGCGTCTTGAGGAGGGGGAGAGAAAAAAAATACCCCCTCCTCCCTTCAAAACCCCAAAACTGGGAAGGGGGTTTAAATTTAACTTTGCAAAGAAGGAAAAGAGGGAGGGAGGGAGGGGGAGGAAAAGTGGGCTACCAGGCGTGAGAGTTTATCAATTTGGTTGTAAATGACGATTAAATAGAAGTGTCCCGCGACAGTAATGAGCCTTAAATCTCATTTGGATGGATTGGGGTCTGGGGGTGGGGAGAAGGCGAACCTCCTTAGCTCATCTGCTTGGCTTGTGTGGAATTGCCAGCTTTCCTGGGGCCGTTTGACGGCGGCCGGCCGGCCCAGGCGGAGGAGAACGGGGCATTGTGTGCCAAAGCTGCTTATCCCTTTGAGAAGAGTTAATAATTAGATTAGGACTTCAAATAAATTAACTAAGAGAGGAGGTGGAGTGAGAATGGAAGCGCAGGCTAAAAGAGAGAAAGAGAAGCGGGAGGAAAGGCTTTGTGGATACAAACTTCTTAAGCCACCTTGGCGTCGTAAAAGGTGCCCAAATCTTGGTTTGTGTAGTGTGCTAAAACAACACACGCCCAGAAAATAATGTAATTTAGCACTTAATGTAATTTAGCCTCTGCTAGGTCCGTAAGGGATCGGATCGCATGCCGACCAAGTTATACGTCTTTGGTTCTCTAAATACCCTCCGTCAACAATTCCACCAACCTCCCTGAGTTATCCTAGCCTGGAGGGAAATGAAGACTCGGGCTTTCGCCTTCAGTCCATTTATTTCTGACTTTATTGAGTTTGAAAGTACTAGATGGGGACGCATCGAGCAAACATTCTCGGGGATGAACAGGTGGGTTTTGAAGGCAGCAGAAGTGCGATCGAGCTGGGATTTTGTTATCTATTCATTTGGGGTTTTGTTATTTATTGAATTTGTTGTATATTACAGGTATAAGGTAAAGGT